TCCTTATTTAGAGCGTTCGGAAGACTTCGGGTAGCAAACAAAATGGCCGACATGTACATGATTTTACTTGTCAGCTTCGCTTCTCTACCGAAATGAGGAAGTTACAACTCCTTTGCGGACTTTAGCGGCCATGAAGTTGACTTTGGGAAGCGCTGAGACGTGATTTCGCTACGGCATAGAGGATTTTGCCGCGGAGGAGTTACGTGGCCGGCAAAAACTCGCGTGTCAGCGATCCTCCAGAAATCTTTATGCTGCCGCTCAAGTCTTCGCGCGAAGGAGGTCTGACGAAGTTTTAGATTAAATAAGGCCACATTGTGTGGATCAATCTCCGTTTTCTTGCGATAGTATGATTATTCAAGTACAGTATTTTATTCAAAAACGTTTGATATTTCTTTGTTCGTTGTCACATGTTTATTTATCGTATTGTCATGTACAGTTAGCAGCGTGTGTCTGAGTCGAGCCATTGTTTTATTTTATTCTTATGTGGCCGTTATACCCCCGTCACATTGTCGACGAGCTTCGGCCGTATTTGTCAATCGCCGAAAGATCGGCCGATTTTGAGATCGACCGACGATCGCGCGTATTTTTGGCTTGAAAATCGTCGCGGTCACATTGTGCGAGGCTCGGGCGATTGCTTGGGAATACATCTATGATAATGAAGTCCCTATGACATGGCAAGCAGATGAAGCAAGGCCAGTGTATCCACCTAAAAATGAATAGTTTGGACAATTTTTATGTTTGACCTGTCGTTATATTTTTTAGCAAAGTAATGGAGCGGACTGGCAGAATGAAATAGAAATAGAAACGGGAATTCTGTGAAGGATCCAACTCAAATACTACCACAAGAGCCACAAATGTACACTACCGTCTGGTTAACACAACGACCACATTTTTAACCAGACAGGAGTGGGCCGAAGCTCGCTCGACACAAGGGCGTACGTCGCTCGAGTTACGGTCGGCGATCTATCGATGCTCGCACGATTTCTACACCATTCAACCAAAACGTACAACAAGACATAATGATTATCATTATATCAAAATCTTTTTATACACGTGTACCTGAACAAAGCTAATAATATATATTGTTCTAAAACTTTGCCTGTATA